GTTGGAGACTGAGTATGCTGAGTCCTTGAGGAGACTGGCTAAGCAAGAAACTAAGTGGACCAGTGTGTGCTTAGCCATTAGCAAGTAATACCAGCTATCATCAATGTATCAAATGCAACTCCAGCTGGGACCATTGGACATAAGGGACATTGACTTCTCTAAGATGAGAATACCACTTGAAAACTATGATGTGGAGTTCCCTAAAGATGTAGCCATGCTAGAGAGGGTCAAGGTGTTAGGGGAGTGGGTAGGGTATCCATGAGGCCATATTTGAACGACTACCCATTGTAACCCCAAATGTTCAGGTAACAAGTTCTAAGACTGACCCTACTCCTAGTGATCTTGATGCAGGCTCAATTCTCCTTGCCTCCAGTGTTGCTGACCTTTCTATTGTTATCACAAATGCAGCTCGAAGTTTTGTTGCACCTAAGGGATTTTTCTTGTACTCTTTTATACATTTGTACTACATTTTTTATTTTGAATAAAACTTCAGAGTTTTCATAGCATTTGGTCTCTACTCTTTGTCTTGTGTTTGATTTATGTTGAATATTGTGGGTAAGGCCTTGGGCCTTTGTTTGGTAACTTAGCGCATAAAGTCCGAGTTAGAAAATTCTTTCTCATTGATTATAGGTTTTTATATGCAATCCTTGTTGTTTCAGACTTAGTGAATTTAGACCTATTTTGTCTTGACACTAGATCACTTTGTATGATGGTTTTTCTGTGCTGTGAAGGTTGACTGATAATAAGGCATAAGTAATGCCTGGTAGCTGGTCCATTGAGGACTTGTTCTAAGTTGCATTGTTTAGAGGTTTTGTGCTAACCTTTGTGTTACAATGACTATCATAGTAGGTTTGAAACCTTTGCTTAAAAAATCCATATGCAACCCACAACGATGCCAATTGTTAAAGGTGTTTTTGGCGAGGGCGAGTTAGATAGTGATTTGGAAGGTGAGCTTGGGCTGGTTCAGACCTGCAGCAAGAAAGCACAGTCAAAGAGCATTGAAGATTGTTCTTCGAGACGCATTCCGACACTCAAGTCAAGTAAGTACATTAGGTTTAAAGAGGAACATGGCGAATTGCAAAGGAAGCTTAAGAGTGAAAAGCTCACAATGTGTACTTGACCTCTTTTTTACTTTATATATGAGAAATTGGGTAATGACACAACAAGAGTTAGTGACAGTTGATAAAAAGTCCAGCTCAATGAGGATCCACGTGGGTGAACGTGGACTACATTTAATGATTCCAAGTTGAAAGTAAGTTAGATTGTTGTGAGGTGACGTGTTGACAGGATGTCATTGGAGATAGTTTGGCGAGCTATCTCCATGGGCAAGAAAGTCTTGCTATGCGAGAACCCAAGGGCAAGCCCATATTGTGACGAATCGATCCTCCGTAAAGGTGACGTGGCTGTCAAATGTGTGCTAACTTAGCGAGTATGAAAATTGACCTTGTTGACAGGCAATTAGGCAAAATAGTTATTAAGAAGTTACCGAGCAATTGTAAAATTGTGAGAGAATCAGCATAAAAAATAATAGACAAATCTAAAATTAAGGAATCAAAGAGAGTTAAATTGAAAAATGGACGTTAGCTTTGTTGAGTTGGTAATTGAAGGTGAAGGTACCAAAGGGCTTTCTGGCTTACTCAAAAGTTAAAAGGGTTAAAAAGCTGTCAAAGAATTGGAGCAAGGAAGCAATCCCTAATAATAGAGATGTGATTGTTGACATTCTTAAAAATTTTGGTGAAATATACGGTTCTGATAGTATGGAGACCAGTTTGATAAAATGCAGACGATCACAAAGCAATTAAAGGAAGTTTTGGAAAATGATAATAAAAGGTTAACTGGTTGATGTATGGTCTTAAGAATAACAAGTTTTTTCATCATGTGACAAGGATTAGGAGGCATATGAATAAAGTTTTATGAATTGAGGATAGCAATGGGAATTGGCTGAAGATTGAAGAATGAGGATAAAATAACGGAATATGCTGTGTTCAATTAAAAAAGAAAAAAAAAACTTTGTTCAAGATAAAAGGAACCAAGTTCAGATGGCTTTAATGACTTCTTTTATTAAGAATACCGGAATGTGGTAAAGGAGGGAAGTTATAAGGATGGTTAAAAGTTTCTTTCACAGTGGAAGAATGTTGAAGATTAACCAGACTGAGATTGTGCAGATTCCTAAGGTGAAAGCTAGCTGGCTCCCGAAACTGTTGGAGCTTTGAAGTTTTTCATTACTTAATTAATGCTAAAGAAGAAAGGGAAGAGGCGTGAATAGATTTGAAGATTGATATGAATACATCTTATGACGGAGAGGAGTTGGGATATTTCTTAGAATTGCTTGTTATGCTTAAAAGTTAAAACAGGTTTTGATAGGAGCTAGGTTAATTGGACTACATATGGAATGTGTGAAAATAATAGTTATGAAAATAATCAAACCACGAAAGAAAATTCAAAATAAAAATATATTCTTGTGCTTTAAATTGACTTTAATTTCATTGCCATTTTAACGGAAAATTATGATGACATTTAAGCAAACTTATAGTATTAATTAATTTCTATATTCATCGTCATCATTAAAATTATTTGTAATTATTATACACATAATATAAAATTATCTGTAGAGGTAATTATTAGTATATATAATTATATAGCATGTGTTATTTTATTGTTAAATTTCTACCTATTCAATAAACAAATTATTATGTTTAAAAAAATTATATATTAAAACATTTGATTTAATGATAAATATACGTACAACTAGATTGAGATCCATGTTATGCATGGAATAGTTTTACTTATTTAATATGGATATATACATATCATTAATTTTTTTTCAAAATTATATTTAAGTCTTTAAATTTTATAGCATATATAAAATTCATATATACTAACTTATCACAAAAATAACCTTTTTCAAAAAAGTAAGAAAAAAATTATATGTTTTTCCTTTAGATAATTTTTATCTACAATAATATTTATATACCCATAAGATTATAGCAAACAAAAATAAATTATGATTTTTCTTTAAAAAAGATGTATATTATTAAATAATGAATTAAAATAAAAGAAGTATTAATTTATTTTCACTTTGTAATATTAATAAAATTGATGTATAAAATATGAAAAATATTAAGAGATATGTTAAAAAGAAATCATAAATTTCAAAATTGTTATTTTTCATAAGAAAGAAACTACAATAGTAATAAAATATATTTTGAAAAAAAAAAGTTGTACACCAAAAAGTTAAGTTGCAATAGTAATAAAATATACCCTAAAAAATTATAAATTTATATAATATATTACATTTATAGTCTTAAATTTGTACTAAAAAAACTCTTGAATGACAATTAGAATTGAATAGATGATTTTCAAATTAATTCTTTTAAATTTAAAAGGGATATAATAAGTGATAAAGACGCAATCAAATTTTTTGGATATATTTGAAATATAAATTTGATTATTAGACTTGAGATGAATATGATCTTTTTTATGGTCTTATTATTTAAAGATTTAATATGAAAAATTGTTTAAATTTCAATATCTTACGTAAATATTTTAAACAATAATTTTTTATTGATTTAAATTAAGATAAAAAGGGTTGTTAAAAAATTTAGATAAACATAATTTTTGTAATTTTTAAATATGATGAAAGATTTTGAAAATTAAATAATTTTTTAAATAAGGTTATTTGGTAAATAACAAAAATTATTTATTATGAGGATAAAATCCATAGTTCAGATTTTTAATTTTAAAAATTATATATCTAAATTGATTAAATTTTAAATTATAATTTGAATAAATTTAAAATTATCTAATTTATAACTAAAAGAAGTTATCCTACCTTTTTAAAAAACTATCTTACACGTCATTTTTAAAAAATTATTTAGTCTATGTGACAAATTTTATGATGTCTATATATTGTAATATAATATATAATTAAAAAATAAATAATAATGTTTTAATATATAACTATATACCTGTGACCAATGAAAGCTGGTTCCAATAACAAGGAGCCGGTGTCTAAAACTTTGAATTTTCATTTTTAAATTTTATCATATAGGTTCAATTAATATAATTTTATGTTGAATTTGTTTAATTATAACTTCATTAAAAAAATAATAGTATATTTGTGTCGGCAAGCAGCAAGAGATTTTAGTTTTAATGGCAACTTGTGTGACATGAATGATAGGTAAAAGGGTAAGAGTGTAGTCTCTATTACATGCCAAGCAAGTTGCAATGTTGCTGTAGTTTCAAGGATAGACTTATTTTTCATTTTCTAACTACTGTATAATGATGAAGTAGGTTTGTATAATGTAAACCAGAAGAAACATGAAAAAAAAAAAAAAAGGAAAAGCAATCAATAAAATGGTAAATTAATTAGATTAACAGAAAAGCAATGCAACTAAGCGTGGATATGGAAGTGCATGTGTCATAATTTTTATTTGCATGAATTTGTTCATTAAATGGTAAAATCCACACATCATCAATATGTTTTAATTAAATGGAATTGGCATTTAACTCACTTAATTACCCAGAGAAGGTTGGTTCTTATTAATCTTCGACATAAAAAGTTTAATTCAAAAGCTGGGAAAAGTCAACCAAGTAAAATAATTTGTTTTTATATATATGATGATCATTTATGACCCCTTAACTATGAAAATCAATGATTGGTTACTGCTAGATTATATGGACAGATACATAGATTGTGATTAAGGAAAAGCCATTACCCCAAGTTGTCTAATTAATTATATGTAATCTCCTTTCTTTAATCTTATAGTTGTCTTGTTGCCTAAAATTGAAATATAATTTAATAGTTTCGTACAGAAATTGGATAATTTCCTCCCCATGATAATTATATATGGATTTCAATTTTAAGGCTCAGAGATCTGAACAATTATGATGATCTTACCAGAAAGCATACAGATAGAGAAATGGCATAGGGACAGGTGTTTTTTTCCATCTAAAGATAAAACCCACTCAAGCACAAGCAGCAGCATATAAAAGCCACCCACTATTTTCATCTATGGCCGGCAAGCTCATGAGCAGAAAAGAAAATTGTTTGTAATCTAGTAAGAAGAAAAGGAGAGACTAATATTCCCTTCAATGGCAGAGATGAATAACATTGTTTCTGGTGCAAATATTCACATCAACACACACAGAAAGATTGTGAGTGTGAGCAGTGAGACTAGTGACAGTGTTGAAATGGAGGCCAATATGAAAGAAACTGCAGGCGATCTTTTGCATCCCAGTATAAATGGATGGTTTGCTGAGCATTGCCCAATTTGGCCAGGTGATGCGTAGGATAGCAAATATTCTTCTCTCTTTAAAGCTTTTAAGAAACAAAAAATCAAGTTATTTTTTCCCTTTTCTGTATAACATCAACTACATGAAGTCATGAACTTACTGCCCTATATATCTTTTCCTTTTTGATCCGATACTGAACTGTGTATATCTAATGTTGAAAGTTTTGTCCTTCATTGAATTTTTATTTTTGTCCACTAACAGCATTTTTATCTTCTTCAAATATTGTTCAAAAATCAACATGAACACACACTCATGCATAATAACCCTTTCTCCCATTTTAATCAGAGATCATATGGTGTATAGTTTTACTCAGAGAGCCCTTTATTAACAAAGCACTGAGGTTCAGACTCTTGTAATTTTGATGCTTTTGAGTATTTTTGGTTGCTGTAGATTTATTGTCTGATTTGATTTTTCCTTTTGGATCTATATGAAATACCCAAAGAAAAAAAAAAGAAAAAATGAGTATTTTGAAATTGGTTTGTTTTCCTATCAATTAAAGCACCGTTTGCCTTTGAAAAACCAAAACCAATAGCTCATTGTGAAGCATAAAAACTATGAGTTTCTCGTGCTTTTTTGAATAAGCAACGAGAGTCACGTAAAAGCATTCAATCCTAATTCAGACTTAAGCAAGGCCGTCCTAATCATATATATCTCAACTTCTAAAAGTTTCGAAATTTTTTAATGTGGATTTAGATATGAGATTTTCTAGTTCCACTGATGTTGTCGGATATTGATAAGTTTGTTGATGTATCTTGAAGGACAAGCACATTTTTTAAAGGTTGAAAAAGTTTTATTTGAGGGTAAGTCAAAGTACCAAAGCATGATGGTGTTTCAGGTATATCAATTTGCATCCATTAGCTACGGTCCAAAGTAGATTTTATTCTTCTTCAAACTTGATTGATTTTTCCTGGTGCTGGTTTGCACTTTGTAGTCATCAGGATATGGCAAGGTGTTTGTGTTGGACGGGGCTCTCCAACTGACAGAGAAGGATGAATGTTCATATCAAGAAATGATGACTCACCTTCCTCTTTGCTCCATTCCAGACCCCAACAAGGTTCATTAAAAACACATGTCGATTGTCCAATGTGTTCCATTTTTCATGCAATATTTCATTAATCATATCAGCCAATATTGAGGAGATAATCATAACACCACCAACTTATTCAAAAGGTTGGTAACTGTCTTTTCCATCTTCCATTTTAGGTGTTGCTTATTGGTGGAGGAGATGGTGGCATCCTCAGGGAAATCTCTCGCCACACTTCTGTCGACCATATTGATATATGCGAGATCGACACAATGCTGATTGACGTGAGTAGGACCTTACTTAACCACTTTCATATTGTACTCTTCTCCTTCAATCCTTGAACATTTAAACACTAAAGACACATACGTTTCGCTTTCACATTGATTTCGCCTCTGGTTTTATTTATTTAGTTATTTATTTATTTTTGTTTTTTGTTTTCAAGGTGTACAAGGAATTCTTTCCGGATATTGCCATTGGATACGATGACCCTCGTGTAACACTTCATGTTCAAGATGGTACGCTTTTTCTTTCTTTCCTTCTTCTTCTTTTTTTGCCTGTTAAATTAGTCTCTAAGTGATTGTTTGAACAAAAAAATATTTTTTTTTGCATGCAGGAACTGCGTTTCTGAAGTCTGTTCCAAATGCTACCTATGATGCAATAATAGTGGATGCGTTTGACCCAATAAGTATATATCCCTCAAACTAATCTGGTGCCCATTTTATTTTAAGTATCTTCATTATTGACAATAGGAGGCTTAAATATGATGCAGGACCTGAACATGAGCTTTTTGACAGTCCATTCTTTGAGTTGGCAGCAAAAGCTCTCCGTCCAGGAGGAGTGATGTGTATCCAGGCCGAAAGCCTGTGGTATCAGCCATTCGATATTGAGCAACTCATTTCAAGTTTTCGCCATATTTTCAAAGGATCTATCAGCTATGCATGGACTGTTGTTCCTACATATCCTAGGCATGCTTCCCTTCTCAAACTTCTAATTCTACTTGTCAGGATTCAATCTCTGATAATCTTGAATGTTCAAACAACAAATAAAAAAATAATGGTGCAAGTCTGCCTTGAAAACCTCAACCACTCTGATTTGCACAAGCATCTAAAACAAACTGCCAAATTCTGGAAAATTACACTTGAAAAATAAACATGTAAGTCACAAGCATATTTAAACAAGGCATTCATTCATGCTTATATGCTGAAATTCTGCTCTTTTCTGTGTACTTTATTGGGTAATAATAAGAACCTATAAATATAATTGTGTCTAACCAAAAACAATCTTATTACAGTGGCGTGATTGGTTTCTTGCTTTGCTCAACCGAAGGGCCATATGTCGACTTCAAAAAGCCTATCAACCCCATCGATCCCAACCAATGTTCAGGCGTAGCCAAACTACCCTTGAAATTTTACAACTCAGAGGTAATTAATGCACACCAATATGTAACAGATTTATAACCACCGAAAATAAATTTATAATTTATTCTAGAAAGGTTTCCAAAATATTTGACTTATGTAACAGATTTATAACCACTGAAAATAAATTTATAATTTATGTATTTATATTATATTTGTTTGATGTTAAATACGTATAAAATATAAAAATTATCACATCATAATTCTCGTGTGAATACATTAAAATAGTTTTTTTTTTTAATTTATATATGATTTTTATCAAAATTTTAAAAAATATTCCTTTAAAAAAAATTTTTATCATTTTCGTACTACATTTAAAATTATCAAATTTACCTTACCAAGATCAATTTAATTGATAAATTCGCTTGCCTATATCATAAATAATTTTTAGATTCAAAAGTTTTATTAGTTACCCTTCACTGTATAACATATGCATGCCTTAACACACATCTTCTCCTAACATATGTAAGTATCTGAAAAAAAAAAAAAAAAAAAAACCATTTACCAAGGATTTTGTATAGAAAGTAAAATGTTTTATTTTGTGAATCAATAGTGATAAACAACTAATCATTTTAATAGTAAATGCTATTTTTTATGAAGTAAAACTCTGATTCATAAAATAAATAGTGAAATATAAATCAACAATAGGTTATAATAGAAATTTTATTCTCAATAAAGTGATAGCATGAGCATGCAAACTATATTATGAAAGGTTTCATGTGTTAATGAAAAAAAAAAAAGGATTTTCAAGATTCAAACTTGTGTTCATTTCTTCTGGCCAGGAAAAGAAATAAAACTTGTGAAGAGATATTAATAAATTGTGGATTATTTTGAAACTTAAACTCTCAATGAAAAACTGGATTAACCTCTTTCTCTCAAAATATATAAATATTTTATTTATAAAATCTTTGTACACCAATTCGGAAGGAGATCTGCTACAAAGAATTTTAAGTAATTTTAATAAAGTTGCAAAAATAACTTTTTGCATAGTAAAAAAAAACTCTTTTCATGTCATACATTGCTTGATTTTGATTTTGCATAAATTGAATTTTGACTTTCATTGATTATAATTTTATTTTTTTTTGAATTACTCATGCTTTGAAGAAAATGAAAAAAGTTTGTAATTATAGTAAAAAGTAAGAAGGGAACTTTATAATTATTTTTCTTTGACTTTCAAACCAGACATTATTTCAGGACTACTAAAGCACTGCAAAGAGGAAAGTATTTATGGAATGGGGAGAGTATTATATTACTTACTATAAGCTATTATAAACAGTAAATTGCAACAAGAACATACTCAACAGCTGTTGCAAATACTTTTGCCATACTATCATTTGCAGCATATTGGAACTATTTATGCTTTAATACAAAAAAAAAAAAAAGAAAAAAAAACACTTTTGTAGTTTTGTAACATAAAAAATAAAAAAAAAAATTATGCTGCAATGGGTGTTACACACTGCTTTTCGTAGCAAAAGTATATACCAAAACTTGTTGCAAATAATAATTTGTAGCATTACGTAAAAATATTATTGCTAATTATCAAATTTTTAGCAATAGATTGACAAAAAAACCAATTAAAAAAATAAAAGCATATCTCTTAAGAAGACTATAATAATTATTTAGTTTTCCTTAAAAGTAGGAAAGGAATCCAAATTCTAAAATCATTTTTTTTTATTTTAAAACTGTATGTATAGTTATTTCATCTTTTGTTTTACATTTTAAGATAACTATAAATTTTTTTATTCTTTTAATATTTATTTAAATAATCAAATTTTTATTTATTTGACTCACTTAGTGTTCCTGTGCATAGAGCTAGTATATTAAAGTTTAATTCTCTTTACAATCATCATAAAAAAAAAAAGTTTAATATTTGTTTAAATTCCATTTTCAGGTACACTCAGCTGCATTTTGTTTGCCAACTTTTGCGAAAAAGGCAATTGCCTTCAATGTTTGAGGTGTTGTGAGAATTATGAGTTGTTATAGGTGGGCAATGTTGGACATTGCGCAAAGCAAATTTGCAATAAAGTTTTAGAAATATATAACTTTGCATATACCAAACGCAAGGTTTCACCCTTTCCTCCCATTCTGAAATGTGAGAAAATCATTATTTGAAATTTGCTGATCATTCTAATAATAAAAGACTTTTACCATTTGATTAATGTTGTTGCCTTCCACAAAATAATATATTGTTTCTACAACAGTGTTCTAAAAGCTAAAGAAAGTGTGTCGTAAATTTCAATACAAGAAATTAAATTTTTCATGGTACTTTTTTTGTGACATTTTACAGAAAAACACTTGTTTAATTTGTTCCAGCTTCTAAATCGGATCACGGCCTAGGGTTTTTGCTTTTTAAGCTTAAGTCCCACCCAAAGTTATCATTTTATTAAATAAATAACTTTTATATAAATAAATTTTTTAAAAATGAATATAAAAAAATATTTTTATGATTTTAATTCGAGTTAATATCAGGAATAACTCCTAAATTATAGTTAAATATTAATGTGGTATCTGAATTTTAAAAATCTATAATATGATATCTAAATTATAAAGGATTCATATTTGATATACTGTCAGTATATATATTTTATACAATATCAGTAAATATAAAGTGAATCAAATGATACCACCTCATTCATAAGTGAGTTTTTCAAAAAATATTAAATTTTTATATATTTGTTTTAAGAGTTAATAGTTACTCATTAATAAAATAATATCATTTAATTTACTAATAGTGTATGAAATCTATACAAATACTGCGTCAAATATAAACTCAATTATGCCACCTCATTAATGAATGAGTTTTTTAAAAAATATTAAATTTTTGCATATTTATTTTAAAAGGTGATATTTACTCATTAATAAGATTGTATCATCTCATTCACTAACGGTATATAAAAATCTATATACAAATAATGCATTAAATATAAACTCAATTATAAATCTATTAACTAATGTGATAGTTCTAAATTTTTTGTCTGTCACATGTTATCATTTGAAACTAATCACGTTATGAGTGAATACAACATTAATTAATATATTTATAGTTAGAATATTACATTAAAAATTTTTAAAATTTAAATATTATATTAAATATTTTACTATAATAAAAAAATCATTTATGATATTAATCTTTTAATAATTAATGTGTGAGTTCATGGACTATTGGGTGGGCTTATGCTTAGCTCTTAATGTCAAGCCCATTAAATCCCTACCCAAGTCTATTGGCAAAAAAATAAAAAATCCCTAGCCAAGCCTGACCCATGTAACAAATCTAATCTATAACTTATAATAAAAGTAATCATCTACTGGGTTTTGATTATCCACATCAACAATGTATTTAAAAATAATTGAAGGGTTAATTTTGAAATAAAATTATTTCAGAAGTTGAAAACAAGCAAGATTGAAAACCCAAAACTTTTCAAAACAAATCATCGTGAAAAAAAAAAAAAGGGAAGAAGAGCAAAAGAATCCTTGCTTGTGAAAGATAATCATGTTCACTTCTCTCTACTATATTTTGAACATAATGCTCATCACAGCTCCTTTTTCTGCCTGTGCCTTTGGGCCCATATCAACTTTTTTACATTATGTTTGGATTAAGGGGAGAGGAAAGGAAAGAAATAGAAATAGAAAAACCTTTCCTTTTTTTAGATAAATTTTTAATTTGAAAGAAAGAAAAGAGGTGAAAATTTAATAACATTTGATTTTTCTTATAATTTTTACTTTTTTTAATACCCCAATTTGGGATAAAAGCTAAGAAAAGAAAAGTTAAAAAAATTTTACTTTTATAAAAAGATTATTATATCTAAGAGTACTCTAAAATTACAAATAATGAAAGGTTATAATTGAAAAAAAATTATTAAAATGAATATTTTCCTTTCTTTTTCATTTTTTATCTAAACAATGGTTGTTAGAATTCTTTTTCTTTCATTTTCTTTATGAATTTTAATTATCCAAACAATAGGTACATATATCATTTCATTTCCTTTAAAAAGCTTTTTTTTTTCTTTCTTTTTCTTTCTTTTCCTTTATTAATTTGTATCCAAATATTGCATTAAGGAAAGGAATTGCTTTCAAAAGATTAATCAATTGCAGCAGAGACTGGACTGACTTTCACAAAATTTTTACTGTTAAATCTTTTTAATTTGCATTGCTATAATATGATTTTATAGGCAATATTTTTTATCATGATTTTATTTAATTTTTTCTTCAAATTATCTTTTTTAAAAGATTAAGGCATTTTAAACCGATTTTGTTGTTAATATTTCAACATTTCTTGATGCATGTAGCATTTTATAAGATTAATCGATGAAGTTTTAGTCATTTTGAAGATGCGATGAATGTGAAGTTAAAAATCTAGATTTTTTTTTTGAATTTTTTTTATTTAGATCGATTTTATTTGATAAAATATAGCAATTAGCATTAACAGGTGACCATATTGTAATACAGTGATGAATAATGTTAGCTTTTTAGGTAAGATGATGAGGGGGTGAATTGGATTTTTTCAAGTTTTTCCCAAACAATGACTTCAAAATAATTGAATGAAAAATTAAAATCAATATCATAATATAATGCAAATGACAACAATTGATATATCTAAAAGTAAATATAATCAACAATGAAAATAAAGGGATAAGGATAGAGAAATCAAATACAAAGATTTATACATGTTTGATCCTTCTTCACAAAGCACCTACATCATTTCTTCTTGATTGTCCACACCAAGACTTCAATCCACTAATCTTAAATTGAAAATACAATCCTATATTTTCTCTATAAGACTTAAGATAGAAACATCTACCCTTTATAGTATTTTATCCAATCTTACTACAAAACTCTTAAAAGGATACATCACCTCTTATTCTCTTTCACCTTTTGTATATCAAAGGTAATTTCACAAATAATAGAACAACCTCTCTAAAGTTAGGTGTTTACTAAGTTTAAGTAAAAAAAAATAATGAATGAACAACAAATATGATTTGAATATAATAAATACAAAGATGTAGACTTTAAAGCTTTAAAACTCTTGATTTCTTTGAGAGAATGAATGTATGTCTTGTTTGATCTTATTTTCTTGATTCATCAACTTTCTTAATGTGTCGAAATACCCAATATATAGATAAAATGAGAAACTAGCCGTTTGAGGATAGTTTGGAGTTGAAAGTACCTATTAAAATTTGAAAAACTAGTTGTTTGAGCATTTCTAGGCATAAAGGGATCAATCCCTTCATTTTGGAGGATCAATTGAGTTAGTTAAAATTTAAACAAAATTTTGTGTGAAAAGACATAACCAATCGATCCATAAGTGGTACCAATCAATCTCTTAGTCTGGGTGATTGATCTTTTTTCAAAGTCTAAAACCAAAATTTCATTCTGTGTAAAAAATCAATCAATCCCTTTGAAAAGGGATCAATCTTGTCTTTAAAAACTTTGAACCAATTGATCATACAAGGAGTGGATCAATTGGTTTAGCTAAGGGATCAATCCGATCAAGCTGGGTGATTGTCTCATGTTTTTACTCCACTCACTAATTTGATCATATCTTAAGTTATACAATTTCAAATCAAAAACCGTTTGAAGATTTAGAAATTAAACTTAAAAGGGTTTTTTGTCCATATAAAATTCATTACCTAATTCATTATATAAGAATTATAGTAAAATTTTAAAACTATCATTTATGCAATTTTTAGATAATTGTAAAGTGTTTAATAAAAATTTAAAATTTTTTCTTAAAAAATTTAGATTTTGAATTTGTTTAATCCATTAACAAGTAAACTCAAGAGCTTTTCAAACATATAAAATTTAAATATTAAAATTTTATAAGTTAATATAAAAAAATAAAACAAGTTTAATGTTGAAAAATTTTATTCTTGTTAAACAATTTTCTTAAGTTAATTTATTTCTCAAAACAAATATTATCAAAATTGTATTGAATTCAAAACTAATAAGTTCACTTTAAAAATAACAATTAGAGTTTCATTTAAGTTTAAATAAATAATATTTAAAAATAATTTTGATTTGAGAAATAAAAAATATAAAAAAAAATTTATTTAAACTTTAAAAATTATATTATTTACTTAATATCAAAATAACAAAACTTAAAATATATACTAAATAAATTTTTTAAAAAATTTTAATCAAACTTATTTAATTTAATGATTTATCAATTTCAAAATAACGATTTGATTCAATTCTAACAGAGAGTAAGGGTTGGAATTAGATAAAGACACCAAAAACCTCACAATCTCCTCTTTTCCTTCTTTCATGAAACCTCTCTTAGCCTCTCTTTTCAACTTTTTAATACAAAAGCCATAAATTTAAAAATAAAAAAAAAAAAAAAAAGTTTCTCCATTTTCCTTTTCCTTTCTTACAGACTCTTTTTGTCCCTGCAATTTTAATTTGATGGCAACAAAATTGTTTAGATATTTCATGCTCCAAAGGGTTATTTCAACTTCCAGAAATTGCTCTTCTACTGCTGCTTCTGCTCCTAAAATCCTTCATTCTTCCAAAAAAGTAAGTTTTCTTTTCCTAACTCATTGTATTAAAAGTTTTATGTATATCTTTTTCTATAGTGAAAGAGAGATGTTTGAAGCTTTTACGCGTCAAAGGTTTTTTTTTTTTTTTTTTTTTTGCTTTTCCATGTATATCTTTTCAGTATCCATTCACATTTAGGTATAAAAGTTTGGGTAACCTATGTGTAGATGTCTTAATACTAGAAGGGTATTTTGAAAGTTACGATTGGAAGGATTAAAATGGGTTCTTTTACTTGACCAACTTAAGAGAAAAGCGTTTGAGAACATCTTAAATTGTTTGTATCTTGCATTTGAAATAGACTCCTTAATAATAAGTTGGATTTTCTGGTTCATGGGATCGTTTAAAACGTTGAATTCTATTTTAAAAAATGAAAAAAAAAAAAAAAAAAAAAAACCTTTCTAGTATGAGGTGTTAACTTTTATTCATGTTCATTGGTTGTATGTCTGAATTTTCTGTTTTAAGACATTACTTTCTGATTCCATGGTCCTTGGTTATTTTTTTCAATTGTAAGGAAGGTTATTGACCGGTGCCACCATAGGCTTAATTATAGCAGGAGGAGCTTATGTTAGTACTGTTGATGAAACAATTTTCTGGCATTTATTTTGGACCTTCCAATGATATCTTCCTTTGTAACTTAAAATTTTTTTTCATATGTCGTTTTGTTTTGCAAATGATGAGGGTTTTTTCCCTTTTTTTTTTCTGGATTGAAAGAAATATCTGCAATTCTTCTTGATCTTTTTGTTGTTTGATTTCGAAAATTGTGCTAATGGTTCCATTAACTTTAATCTAAAATTATTTTGGAAAAATGAACAAGTACCTTCCTTTAAAAGCATGACTTTGCAAGTTATTATATGACTAAAACGGCTGTAAAGAGTAGGGACATTTCTCTTCTTTTTTTTTTTTTTTGTATCACAGCAAACTGGTCGGTGTAGATTTTGTTAAATTTTTATGTAGATCTTAGCTGTTGACAATGGTAGCATCAACAGTTGGGGCCTTGAGTTGGTACAAAGGGAGAGTCAAAGCAATTCCATCTGGGGATTGCTGCGTGGTAATGGCCATGTCCAGTAACGGGGCTGGACTTTCACCTGAAAAAACCATTACTTTGGCATCTCTCATTGCTCTTAGATTGGTAAAGCTCATATGAATATACTTTTGCATTTGGTTAGGTCCCTGTTAAACTTAGTGGTTTTCATGTTTGCTTGACATTTTCTTGCTGATTAATTTAGTTTTGTTTAGTTATATCACTGGTTTAGTTCTACAAGCAAATAGTCACTTTTTTTAGTTGTTTGCGCCTTTGGTTTCAAAAGTAATTTCGTTTCTTTTCATTACTCTTTGCAAAATTGCTTCCATCCTTTTCTTCTTATTGTTTTCTAATCTCTTTTTCTTAATTGTCTCGATTGTATCACACCACAGCTATGGGCTCTGCAAGCCCTTGGCTCCACCATTGTTTGCAATTCAGCACTAGCAGGAATAGGAGAAGCATAGACCCTCTGGCAGCAAGAGTTTGGTTTACGGTAATTGGTGGTTTCAAGCCTTTCCTGTAATTTCACTTAAGCTTTTGGTCTTGATGGACCTTACCTTTTCTCTACCATCAAATAGAACCTGCTTCTCTTGTGATTCTATAGAATTTGGTATTAAGTATTTACTCATCACTACTAAACCTGATGTAATACAATTGTGTAGGTGATGGATACATGGCTTGTTTATGCGCCTGTGAAAAACAACCTTGAAGATGCTACTAAGTTCAAATTATGTATTAATAATTTCTGGAGTTCATCTTTCTCTGTTTAATTGGCTCTTTTGCAATTATAATCTAGCTTGTCAATGGATAGCAAATCCAGGATTTCTGGTGTTGGTTTGTCTATACACAACGGGGTGACAGTATAAATAGGTTCAATTGTGAAGATCAAAATATAGAAAAGCTATAACATCAACGTTGTGTTGTGCAATATCATTCAGGAATCTATTTTTTTTATCTTTTGCATTATACAGGTTTTAATAAGTAAATCATCATTTTTAGTATTTTTTTTTTCACAAATTTTAATAGGAAGTAGGAATTATATAATGGTGAATTTTGTCAAATAAATGAATTAGTTCCTTTTAGGTTCATTACTTCTCTTAAATATAATGCTCACACTTGAACAATATATAATTGTTTCAAGGGATATGGTACAGTTTATTTAGATTATGGTCATCATTATAACATCTTTCTGTTACTTTTTTTTATGATGCTATCCTATTAACCTTTTGTCTCCTTTAAACTGTTCTTGGTTAATCTTCAAGCGAGCAACTGTTAGGTCACATGTTCTTTCTCTACCTTAGTACCAAGGGTCCTATTTGGATATTTATTATCAACACCTTTTGTTGTCCTTGATGATTAGTTTGTGTTCTGGGCATCTTTGTCAGTTTGATTCTATTTATTAATGTTCTCTCAACCTTGATTAAGGCACCAAAATGGAACCCATATCGCAGTGCAACTTTTGGAGAAATTGCCATATCGTGCGAACAGTCTCATCCTTTAAAAGGTGATCATGTTAATCTTTGATTAAATTCAAGTGATTGAATTTGTCTCATTCTAAAAAATATTTTTTCACTCTCTCTTTATATCCTTAATTTTATTGTTAAATTTTTGGTTTCCAACTTTTATGTGTTTTTGCTAGGCTGGTGTCCAAGTGGAGGATCCAATATAACAGGTTTACAATGGACAAGAGGTGGAAGTGTGGTCGCATGTTACATGGAAGCCTTAATGGGGGCTAACTTTTTCTGAGATAAAAAGCAAAGTTAGTGGAAGTTGCTCCATCTCTCAAAGGTCAACATGGCCCTTAAGGGCCATGATATCTTTCTTGAAGATCTATATTTGGATGGAGCTCTTATCATCAATTCTATTGATGGTACAGAGGTATGCCACGATAAGTTGATGGTAGATGCATGCCCTTATTTAATCTGTTCTTGCTTTTATTTTCATTCTTTTTCCTTGTACTTTTTTGCAACAAGTTTAATAGATTGTTACAAATTAGATGTTGTAAGCATTAACTATGAATACCAGGATTGTTCCATATATTTCTTAAGTATTATTATTTCTCACTCTTTGGTGAATTCCAAACTTTGTATTAGGAAATTGATGCAATTCTCAGGTTCTGTAATGTTGGTGGTAAAGAAATTGAATTATATATCAATGACTGTTGCAAAAAGCCAAACTTCTATCTGGCTGTTGGACAGGGTTTCTTTTTAAAGTCCTAACTCCAAATTGAATAATGGGAACATAGCTTTGATTGCCAATGAGCATTCAACTTTGATACTTTTGGTTTCTTGGTGAGGGATTGGATGAGGTTCCTGCTATATAAGTTGAAGTAGATGCTTTATAACAATTCCAACAATTAGGTTTTGCAATGATAGAAGGAAACCTGGAATAAGATATATCATTAACTTTTTTCCAATTTTCAGTGAAACTTGATTAGGAAAAAAAAATTAATACTTACTAATATTATGGAATTATACATGGTTATTGTTTTTTATTGTATAATTTCCAAGGTCTAAGTTAAAAATTTTTGCTGCATGTTTTGACTCAAACTTCTTTTGTTTTTATGTTTTTTTCCCTTTTCTCTATATTATGTTATTAATAGGCCTGTAGAGGAGTTGTCAATGAGCCATTTGCCAGGGACACCTGAGAATATTTGAGGAAGCTCTGCATTGAAAAGGTGCTGCTCCTTTTGAAATTTTCTGGTCATTATTGTTATAGATGACTTTTGATTATTTAAAATTTATGGTGGATCTAAATTAATATATCTTAACCCTGGAAGTCACTTTCAAAGATGAATATGTATTGCCAAGCACAGGCCAAGAATTTGGCTCTGTTTACCTTGGTGGTGACAAAAACGTTACAATGTTAGTTATCTCTGCAGGCTAGGCAAAAGTAATTTGCTTTTCAGTTTGTCATAATACTTGGAAAAGTGACTTATTATTATATCTTGTATTCACTTTAAATGAGGGGAAGCAAGTCCTTTTCTTGCTGAATTGCTACATCTTGAAGAACAAGCCAAACAACGTCTGGATCGATGGGGCAAGGTAATCTCTTTCCCCTTTGTAATAGTCCATTTTAAATTCTAATTCTAACTCTTTTGGTTGGATTTTGATCTTAGGTATGAGTGACTTGCTTTTTCCTTTTATTGTTCTCTCTGAGGATAATGTGTTTTGGTGCTTTGAGATGCTTATTAGGTGAATAGTATTTTATACTTGGTGATTTCAGTATAGGCCTTGCTTCAATTTATACTGTAGCAAAGCCTTTTGTACCTAAGATACCAGCAAACTCTTGCGGCCAAAAAAAAAAACCAGAAAAAAGTTTCTGTTAGAATTTTCTAAGCTCCAAATCTACAAAAAAATATATAAAATTCATGGAGATTTTCAGGTAAGATTTTTTAAGCTATTTGTTTGATAAATACCTGATTTCAAATCTTATCTGTTTGCCGATTGAATTTTTGTTAGTACAAAATTTAGTGAGATTTGAAGAGCTAGAGCTTACTCTTTTAATTTTGATCTAATTACTTGCCTTTATTAATTGAAAATGTGAAAATATTTTTCATAGGTTTCTCAATTTTGTTTACTTATTTTCCATGGAAAAGAAAAAGGGTTATAAAGGAAATTTAGTAGTTTCAAGTCCTAAAGCATTCCCTAGGAGTTGTTACAAGCAGATAACTGCTTTAAGGAATCGTCTAGATGTTAAGGACATAACAGTTCATGTAGCAACGTTTTTACTCAAAGTTGCTGCATTAGAAATAGTTAGAAGAGTCTCAAAGGCTAAGTGTCCATTTTTGCGGCCTGGTATTCGGGCTTTTCAAGTTATATGCTAACCGCCCATTAATTGTACTCATAAATGGGCTCTCTTTAAGGGTTTAGTTATAGGAATGCGAGTTTGTTCTTTAACAACTTTGTAAACATTGCATTTTTAGTTAATTGCTAGATTGAATTTTTTGTGATGAAGGGTTGATTTAACAAATGATTGACAATTGTTATTTTATTTTAATTGTTCCAAATGTTGTCGAGGCCACTTTTGGTTCTTTGAATCGCGACAGCGTTTTCTGATCAAGAAGAGTTTAATGGTCAAGCCTCAGATGGTATTGGTGGTTCTCTGGTGAATTCAGAATCGTATTATCAGGAACCTTATGTACAGTATTCCTTGGATGCAAGGTACATCAAGCATTGAAGTGTATTAGGTTTTTTCTTTTTGACCTTTTATGTTTCTGTCTTGGCGTGTCGAATTTTGATTAGAAACTATATTTGCTTTACTGCAATCAAAGACTGTAAATGAGGTTTCACCAATCTTAAAAAGATGTCTAGTCATTGTCTGATCTTAAGAGCTTTGGTTGACTTTGTAATAAACTGATGCTGCAAGATGAGAAGTTAGGTTGGATTGAAAGTAAAAGTGAACTTTATATAAGGAGAAACTCTATCTGGCCTCATTGATTAAAGGATGCAATTTAGTTTTTTCACATATCTTTTGATACAAGGTAGAAAGCTTTTGAATATTCAAGGCATTGAACACTTTGAGATTTCTTTGCTTTTGGTTGAGCATTACTGAATGTATGCACCTACAAGTAAAAGCTGAGATATAATTAATAAAATCCTCCAAGAGTCTTAAATTTGGTGACACCAATTTTTAAAATCTTCAAAAATAAATATTTTCTTTTCATTTGGTGCTTATTGCTCCGTTACGAATAGGAGTGTAATCAATCAAGTTTAAATTGATACAATATTAAGCTTAAGCTCGAGTTCAATTTCAAATTCGAGGTTTGAAATTCAATTCGAATTTAATTGAGTTTTATTTTTTTAATTTGAGTTTAACTCGAGATAAAAATCGAGTTATTCGAATTTATTCAATTAAATTTAATTAACATGTAAAAATAAATTTGATTTTTATATTTGATAAAAGTTAGATTATTTATAATTGAGTTCGACTTCGAGTTTGAGATATTTTATTTAAAATAAATAAAATATATTAAAATATAAAAGCTTGATTAAACTTATGAATTATTAGAATAGGATATAAGAATATTTTAATTCGATTTGATCGATAAATCGAATTATTTAATCTCAAGTTCGATTTGATAATAATCAAATTAAATTCAAGTTTTATTCAAATCAAATTTAAGTTAAATTTGAATAATTTATAAATATTAATATATCATTTATATTCTTAATCATGAAATGCAGGATTTATATCCAAGTACCTGCCTTTCGTCGCCAAATCTACTATTGTTAAAAAATAATGAATCTTTTTTATGTTCAATTAATGTTAAGGATTTTTTTTTTTTTATGTTCATTTTACTTTAAAAGTGTAAACTATTTGAATTTTATCTTGGAAAGTGTATATCTCAACTGCATTTGATGATTTAGATTTGAATTTCTTTTAAATGAAATATAATCCTTAATTAAGAATACATATTCTCAAAATTTTTTAATCATTTGGGATCATAATATATTTAATAATTTTTTATTATATTTTAAATTATTCAAACAGTTATTATTTTCTATTTCTTATTATTATTATTATTATTATTATTATTATTTTCATTTATCTAAGAAATTAAAATTTTTTCTTAATTTTAATAATGCAATTTTATAAATTAATATATCCCCTGTCCTTATAATTATTTAAATATAATCCATTTTGTAAAAATAATCTTGGGATCCCTCACATATTATTCTGTCAAATTTATATAAAATTGATTATGGGAGAATTTCAAACAATTAAGTAGTATGTTATATACTTCATTGTTAATTGATTCATTCATCTAACAAACTACACTACTTTTAAAATTTAACTAAAAACATAAATAAAACAATAATAGTAATAATAAGTTGAAAAATTAGACCTTAAAATTAAAAAAAAAAAAAAATCTTTTGAAATGCTTTGATTTAGTGAATTAGCTAAAAAAAATCATTTGAACATTTTAGACAAATCATCATCAATAGCAATTTTCTAAAACTTCCATCATGGTAGGCTTTTCAAATAACTATTTTTATCATTTACTTTTTTAATTCAACAAATTGAATAATTTTATAAATTTAAATTGGCAACACAATAATAAAAATGAATGAACTGAAAAAGATTTTAAAAAAATTTAAAATTATATATGAAGAGAAATTCTTATATTCTCTACCCTTGTTGCTCTATTCTCTTCTCCTTTAACCTCCTTACTTCCCTCTACCTCATTTACTTGAATGTTAAAACATGCTACAAAATTTTAATTACAACTTTTTTTTTTTTTTCTTTAACAGATATGATAAACTCACCGAATCGTCCTCCAGCAAGTTTTACTCTCATCGAATTTAAAAATACTTTAGCAATATGCAAATTTTGCTGCCGATGTGGGATACAAACAACCCACTATCAAGATGGTCCACAAACCCTCTAAAATTTTGCATTTAATTGTTTTTCCTTTTTTTCCTCGATTGATAATTTGATATAGTTGGAAAATTAGATTTATATACCACTTCTTGGTTTCAATTCTTCTTCTCTCCTATATTTCTTTCATTTCATTTTTTCTCCCTTTTATCAAATATAATGTTTATTTTATAAACAATTAGAGACAACCTCAAATTTTGCCCCATTTTTTCTCAAACCTAGAGGAGTAAATACTCCCCATCAAAGAAAGACGAATTGATGACTATGAGTCTTGAAACATTCAGCACACGTGACAGCCCATTTCACATAACTCAATGTCGGCCTAAGTCAAACCCAATCACCCATGACAATCGTCAATCAAACATCATTGCATCCATCTTCCACGTTAGAAACCTACCAAAGAAAGAGACTTCAGTCTTCACCAACTCAAAATAAGAAAGAGATTTCAGTCTTCACCAACTCAAAATCAAATTATTTTCTTTTGGACATAATAATTTAAAAGACAATATAATAAAAAATAAAAAAATATAAATATAAAATTCTATAATTTAAAATTATTTAAAAATTTTTATATTTAAGTTAATAAAAATAAAAATTATATTTGCCGACAAACACATCCATTTTAAATAAAACAAATACAGAGACATTTTAACCTATCATTTAAAATTAGATAACAAAAAAAACATAAATTCTAATGGATAAGAGCTGAACATTGGACAGCCCATTACATAAGTGGGACCCACCAAGGTCACTTTTCTCTTTTCACGGATAAGAACCGGTTGTTCTTGCCTCGCCCCTTTGCAATTCCTTACGACACCCTGCCGTGAGACACGTTACCGGATAATGCGGGCCCCGCCACCTATTTTATGTGCAAAGAAATCTGTTTTTTTTTTTTTTTTTAGTGCGTTAAAGTATAAACAGATAGAAGTAATGACATGAAATAATAGAAGCAAGCTTTCCAACTATTGAAAAGTAAGGTATATATTCCTTACTTTCACTCTAAGCCGATGCATGTATTTTTCAAATAACTCATTGATAGAAATGATAAAAAGAAAGAAAATTTTTATTTAATAATATGTTCAGGTTGAGATTGAATCACATTAGATTTTGATTGTTATGAGTATAAATCATTTTAAATTTAAGTTTTTTTTTTTTTTAAGTTTAAACTAAGTTGGGGTTTTGGTTAAAATTAAATTGGTAATTACATTTTTAATTCAAATTTTGATGATTTGAAAATTTTAATTAAGCTTGAGTTAGTGCCTAGAGTTTCGATCATTCGATTTTAAATTATTTTAAGTTATATTTTTGTTTTTTTATAAAATTAGATATGATCAAATTTAACTTTTTTTCAATAATTTTTTCAGTTTAAATTCATTTTACCTCATCTAACAATGCAAAATTTGATAGCTACAACAGAGAAATATTTTTGTATATATTCGTTATTTTAAATTATTCATAATTCTTTATATATTTCATACTAATTTAATTTTTTTTTTGTGTATTATTTTTTATGCATCTATATCCAATTAGGGGGATTTTGGGTTTAGGTGTGAAACGTGAACTGAAAGAAGCAACTAAAGAAAAAAAAGGTTGATGATGTGGACTGACAAAAGGCCAGAAAAGATGGGACCCTTGAGTTTTGCATGCCTTTTAAGGTAGGAATAGGGATCGATTTTTTTATTATTAATTTATATATCACAAAACCTAAGTGTGAAAAGGGTTGCCGTACGAGATGGGCGGTTAGATTGGAAGGGAAAGAAGATAGGAATTGTAAATGGAGATTCGACGAGGAAAATGGAAGAAGTTGGGTAGGACGAGACTGCATTTAAAGATCCTGGTCCCCCCCCTCCCCCCCCCCACATTTTATCTGCATTGGACTCCGTCACTAATGGAGCAACCCTCCTTTTCTTTTCAATTTACATCTCTGCCATTTTTTCCATTTTAAATATAAGTTAAAATAATTAAAGTATTATATAATAGAAAACAACTATAAATTACATTTTTTTAAAAAAGAATAGTAGTAGTATTTCTTTGTTTTTCCTTATATTCATACTTTCTAATTTCTCTTTTTTAAAAAAGCAATATTTGATATTATACATTTATTAAATATACCGTTTGATATTATTTTTAAAACAGTTAATTATATATTTTTTGTATTTAAATTTTGAGAAAATGTATAATTTAGTACTTAAAGAAATAAAATATAATTTGTATTATAAACTTTTAAATAATATATAATTTATATGTTAAACTTTTAAATTATGTACTACATTAACCAAAACTCTAATTCCACTAACTATAGAAACTTATATATGTGACATTTAGCAAATGTTATCAAATTATATTTTCATCATATATAATTTTAATATCTTTACTTCAACATAATTTAAATATATATTTATCTGAATTGTAAAAATTATCTAGAATTGATCAATCTTTTTTTACGCATGTCATCCATGTGAAATTTTTACAAAATATTTAAAATTTTTATTTAACAAAGTATATAATCAAATTATAATAGTTAGATACCATATAAACGAGTTAAGTTAATAATATTAAAATTTGAATTAACATAATATATTATTTAAAAGTTTATGATGTAAATTATATATTTTACTTCTTTAAATGTCAATTTATACATTTTCTTAAAGTTTGTATGCCAAAAGTGCAATTAATTCCTTTTAAAGGCATTATTGTTATCTACTTATCGAAATGATCTTATTATTATAGTAACTTATCATTTGTGATTTTTAATCATTTTATTTGATTAACTCTTATTAAATCTTAGGATTTAAAAATCATTATATGTTTGATATTACTAAAAATTAAATATTATTTTATTTGAAGGTACTAAAATAATCATATTATAATAATTATACAAATTAATAATTTTAATATTTTTTTAAAGATAATAACTTATAAAATACTACTAAGATTTTATTTGCTTCATAATATGGTATAACTAAATTATTGAAAGTAACAAATATATTTATTGATATATAAATAAACTTTTATAATTAAATTACATAAAAAAAATTTGAATTAAAATATAAAATTAAATTTATTAAAATTAATAAAATAAAAAATCAACTATATTTATGGTATTAAAAATTAAAAAACACATAATTTGTTTTTAAGCTAATAAAATGAATATTATTATGAAAAAAGAAAAACTTATAGTATAAAATATTATAATTTTAATAAAAAAATTTTATTTATATATCAAATAAATAATATTAAAAAATTAATTTTATATATCGCTTAATCTCAATTATTAAAATTTCCCATATTTATGGGAGAAAATTGTATCACCTCTATAATAGTAATTTTGACAAGAGGGGAGGAAAGTAAAAGAAATTGTGGAAAGGTAACGAAATTTGAGTAAATGCGGTTAGTGGTCTTATCCAAAAGAAAAAAAAAAACAGTAATGTGATGGATGCCAGTTTTCTAGCAGATACGAATTGGCGAAATGGCGTGGTCGAGCAGCCGCGTGCCCTACCGGTTCACGCGCCCAACCCTATGCTCTGCCTCTAGCCTTTATGATCACATTAATTAATTAAAAAATTTTCTCTTTTATTCTCTCGTTTTCGTTTGACGTTATTAAATTATTAGATCAGTTTCTATACTCTCCTAACATTTCGAATTTTACTTTTTATAGCAATTTGAAAGAATTTATTTTTTATATTTTTAAATATAAATTTAAAAATATAATAAAATTATAAAACTATCTATAAATTACTGGCGTCATAATTTTTTTTCGTGTAAATCATAATCATGGTTTTCTCTAATTACATAAATACCATATTCACAACTTTTTTTCTCTCTTTTTCTTTACTTCTTTCCTTTTTTTTTTTCCTTTACGTCAACAATTTAATGATAATTTTTTTAACTTTATTAAATTTTGGATTAATATTTTATGTCTCAAAAGTATAATTAAATTTATTTAAATTGTTGTACTGAAATTAAATTTGAATTTTTACATAAATACATAAATCAATCTCATAATTTGACTTTTGATGTTTGATTTTCATTTTCCTACACAATCACATTTGGTTAATTAAAGAAAATCATTACATTCACATTCACAGCTCATCATTTTAATAATGTATCCTACGTTTTCAAAATATATATTAAAAAAATATTTTAATAAGCATTTAAAAACTTGCGTTACTTACCGTTATAATTGTATATACGACCATCATTTTGAATTTTAATCTTTCCTTTCCGTTCATTTGTGCATTTAATTGATGGAATATTTTTATTCCATATCCATAACTTTTCATTTTTTTTTTTTTCAAATAAAAAAATAAATAAATTGTTCCAACTATCAAATTAACAAATAAATAGAGTAATTAAATGAATAGTTGGTACAATCTATTTAAATATTAGTCTATACATTAATGAATTGTGCCAATTTAATACTATTTTTTAACATATCATGCCAAAAGGTAAGGGTGTAGCACAACATCACACATGATCCTTCATGGTTGGCATAACATTGTTTTTTTTGTGGAGATGGTGAAATACAATCCATTAATAATTTTTCAAATTTTAATTATTTTAAAAAATCCATTTGATTATTATTAAAAATAACGTATGAAAAAAAAATAAAAGTAAAATAAAATAATAAGGACACATAATTTACGTAATTCAACAATATATATAAATCTATGGAAAAAAAATTAATAAAATCTATTAAATAAATATATAGAAATTACAATTTTAATATTTAAAAAAATACACACCAATACATATAAAAATTTATAGAACATAAAATTATTATTTTATTTTTCATTCTCATCATATGATGGTTCATTTTATAAAATATATTTTGTCTTGTACATTTATTATATATATATATATCTTTCATTTTATAGTAATTTACTTTGTTAATTGAATTTATATTTAATTTGATGTCTTAATTTATTTTATCATTTTATTTTTGTCAATCACTAGTTAAATATAATTTATCAATTAATAATTTAAATACTTAATAACTAAATTTATTTAATATATTATATTTTATAAATTATCAACAAAATATCAAAAGTAAGTATAATTTTATTATAATATAAAAAATAATATGAATACACTTAATGATTAAAAACTCATTTATAACAATTATGGATCAATATGGCACGATTAGGTTTGTATGTCATGTCGTGTTAGTTCATGTGCTATGTGATAGCACTGGTGTTTAATGGGTCATGTCGTGCTGACCCATGAGTTTAAAATTTTTTAGTTCAATATAGTAAAGATATATATATATCGTGATTGATTCAATCTGATTACTAAATAGTAAATCATGTTAAATAATGTTTATAATATGCTGAATTATTTCGTATCATGAATTATCTAACCCATTTGATGCCGTTAAAAACAAATATTTAAAATTACTTTTTCAATGAAAACAACAAAAGATATCATCATAAAACTCAAATCCAAATCATTTAAACTTAATTATTTTTATTTAAGATTAAATGATTATTGAATTTTTATTTAATAAATGTTCTTCCCACTTAAGGATTTCTATATTAATGACCAATATTGCAAACTTGTGATTGCCTTTTCTCCCTTTTTATACTCTACCTAATATACCATCCATTTTCATTTGAATATATGCAAGAAAAGTGTTTAAAATTGAAAACATCCATGCACTTTCATTCTTTAACTCAAAAACTTACAATAACAATAAAGTCGAAAAGCAATATTAATCTAAGATTATCGATCAGGTTATGAAAAGGTGAGAGGCAAAATATGAAACTTAATTCAATAAGTTTATATAATTATTTTAAAAAAATAATAATTAGTAAATCTCAAATCTTAATACTTATAATTTTTTTTTTAAATTTTCAAATCATGATTTTGTAAAAAAAAAAAGATAATGATGGATAAGCATCAAAAGATATGATTATGAAGAATAAAAAAGATAAGTACTTAAAACCATTTTTAATATATAAGATAAAATTAAATTTAAAGTTTAATTTTATTAATTTATACAATCATTCATAATAGATAATATTTAACAGGTTTGATATTTGAATTATGACATTTATGATCCCATCTCGTATTTTCAAATGATGACTTCTTGTGTATATATATAAATATAAAAGATAAAATAAAGTTTAGCAAACTTGTAGGCTTGTGAGTTGAGAAAAAAATTAAACAAGTTGGAGTTGGTACAAGAAATTACAAAAACGTGTTGATTGAGCACTCTTATTTATATAAACATTAGGAAATCCATAACGGGGTACATACGGATTTGGGAAAATCACTACATACAAAGCTAGCTAATTATTTTATTATATTGTGACGGTTGATTTTTGAAAAACTTAATTTTAAGATGACTAATGCGGGACAAGTCTAAGGTTATCCGCATGTAGCATTAAAAAAAAACAATCTGCAAGTTCAATTGACAAGGAAACATGGTTTTTTTTTTTTTAACAAAATAGATAATTTAAGAATAAAAAAAAAGGTTGTATCGATTGATTGTTGGAGTAATTGGTACGATATTAAAATTAATAATTAAAAATTGTAGATTAAAAAAAAATTTGTGCGTATAAATTTTTTTAGTACTTATAAAATGAGACAGTGAGAGGTTTCTTTTCTGGGTAAAGAATGAGTAGGTCTTGGGTAACCCAAAACATATCCATATCTAAGATTGAGATTAAACACTATTTCTAGATGGCCTTTTGACACCAACACAAAGAATGTTATGAAGTACCCATTCTACCCTTGCTTGGCTTATGTCATTTTCATTTGTACTTTCTTTTTTTTTTTTTTATGAAAAAAAATGCTATAATATCTATGAAAAGTTGATATGATTTGGGGTATTTGAGTTGAAAAATAAAGAAATACAAGCATTTATCTTCACATTAAATTGAATATTTAAATCCATTTTCAATTTTATTTTAAATGGAACCAAATTTTGCATTTAACACGTAGATTTGGATTACTTTTATTTTGGTAACAATGGGTTGACCATGTATATCAATATATTTATGATATCGATGGGGCTACACAATTAACAAGTAGATTCAAATTTTTATATAATTCAAAAAATTGAATGAAAAATAATTTATTCAATTAAAGAAATTATCAATGAAAGATTAATTAGATGATATTAGAATCGACTTGAAAGTTAATCTTTCCATTTAAACATCAGTTTTAACCTAAGACAAAAAAAAAAAAAAAAACCTTGTTATAATGACCAAAAGCCTAAAACAAACTAAACCCAAAAAATTTATGGATTTAAAAAAAAAAAAAAAGTGAGAAGACAAGATAAAAGGAAATTGGCACCAATGCAAAAAGCCTAGAAGAAAAGGGGCATTTGAAGGAAGACAAACTCGCAGGACAATAACGTAAAGACCAACGAGACTTGTAATCTAACTGTTTATGCTTTGGGGTGGGGGAATGGGGCGGTCTTTCTCTCTCTCTCTCTCTCTCAAAATCTTGTTTCTTTTTTGACTATTGTATTCTACGTTTCAATCTTATTTGCAGCTTCCATTGTTGAATGAACTAACACCAAACACCAATCCAAACGGAACCCTTAAAATAAATTTTCAATCCTTTTTTCTTCTTGGGGTTTTAGTCGGTTTCGAACCCTTACAAAACTCTCTCACAAATCTCACCAGTTTTGAACCTAACACACCATTTCTTTCGAGTTTCTTATTTGTCTTTTTTTTTTTTTTTTCTATCTCATAATAACTCCAACTTCTGCTTCCTACATTCTTTTTCTTTCATGTTTTATCGACTTTTTTTTCCTCGTGTAAGTTTTATCTTTATCCGCATTGATTCTCTGTTGAAGGGTTCTTTTCTTTTTCTGTTTTTTTTATGCCTTCATGTCCATGTTTGGTTGCTCGGAAAGTTTTAAGGGAAGCAATGGGAAAATGGGGTTGTGAGATTTTTAGTTTTCTTGGGCTTTCTAGTAACCATGTTTTTTCGTGTTTTTCCTGATAAAAAGGATGATCTTTCTTGCAGGGAAATTACTGTACAATGTCATTGAAGAGTTAGATAAAACTACTGTTGCGCAAGCTGGATCCTTCTGTAAAGGTAACATTTTGGATCACTCTGTCTATGTAGTCTCCCTTTTTCTATACATCCATATGTATTTGAATATAATGTGTTTATATGTATTTTTTATCTGCATGTATAAACATCACATTGGAATTTTGCGATCTAGAGGCTTAGAAGTAAATTTTGAGCTTCACTGTTTATTTGTGTGCCCTTTTGTTTCTATTCTACTCAAGCCATTATCTGCACTGTTGCAAAATGTTTCCAACTGGTTTAGGGAGCTTGGCTGGATGATAGGCAATTTTCACTCCTTTTGCTTCTCCTTGTTTTGGATTTTTTTCAAAAAGTTATTAACTACAGAATAAGTTCAAGTTATTTATAAACAATTCCATGGCTATCATCAGTGGTGGATCCAGGATTTTTTTAGGGGTATCCACTTATTACAGTGGGTGTCTGCTAGTGGACGTGGCTGGTTGTGGGCTGTGGCTGGGTATTGAGTAGCGGCAATGAGTGGATTGGTTAGGGAATTAAGAAACATATGTTCAGAGGAATATTTTGGGGTGTCCAGGGGAATTTTCCTTTAAATTTTCTTGTTTTTCAATCCCTATCTTTACTTTTGCATCTGCCTCTGGCTATCATCTTTGGTTGTGAAGCTAATGAAGCAGTTGATAATTTTCTTGTTTTTCAATCCCTATCTTTACTTTTGCATCTGCCTCTGGCTATCATCTTTGGTTGTGAAGTTAATGAAGCAGTTGATAAGGATTAAAAAAAAATCTCCTTATTGGAGATTCATTTTGCCTTTTTAATTCAGACTCATTTTTACCTCAATTCAGAAAATCAATAAACAAAAGTTTACCATGAAGTGAAATATTATGGAAACCAAGAATAGTTTTTGTTGCAGTTAATTTATTGAAGAACCAGGTTAGAATGATACAAAGTACTGCTGGAGAATTTCAGAAAATGAATAAAAATCTAACAATAAATCAGGAGAACAATGTTTCTACTATCATTTTCCCATCTTTTGATTTTCAAGTTAGTGAGTCATTAGTTATTAAAGATAAGGTGACCCCATGAGTAGTTATATGCCCTAATTTTCTACTGTGTTTGCCTTTCTGATTTGTAGAGTAAGAATTTTGGTAATTATTGACGATAAGGTGAGCCCCTTGAATATCATATTGCCTTTTCTTTTTAATTATCTTCTTTTGTCAATAATCGGATGACAGATAAGCTGATAAACTATGAGTCAATGCTTGCTCAAAATATGGCACTGCTGTGAAAATTGTATGAGAAGAATTTTTTTTTTTCATATAGACATTTTCTGTATTCTTTCATTTTTCATTTTTATGGTGTTATTTGAAAAGATTTATTTTTCAGTACAGACGATATCATTAATAATATAGATAAGGATGAAGTAAATAGTATGGTAAATTTTGGCAAATCTAGTTCATTTATCGATATATTCGTCCTGTCCATACTCGCAAAACAGCTAAGTGACTTATTAATCCTGCTGGAACCAAACAAGATAAACGGACACGTTTTTAGTACACTACTGAAAGGAAATTAATTCGATTCCCTTTTGGGTTAAAAGAATTTTTTTTCATTAAATTGCCTGCATATTGTATATCTGGATAATTAATTTGAAGAAATCAAGTAGAATGCAACTTGCATATAAAAGGCTATGTAGGGCATACATAAATTGGCAGATTTTGTTGAGAGCTCGTCGGCGAACAAAATTAGGTATGCCGATGTTTTTATGAATGTGCATTTCCCTCTTATATTTGATCTTTTCCTTTTCCTTTTTATATTTTGCTTTTTATCTTTCCTTTCTTTTTCTTCTTTTGCCAGTAGATCTTAATGCGAACACATATTTTTTCCTCTTATATGAAGTTGGATGTCCCATGCTAATGGTTCAAAATAAATTTGGATGTCTAAGTTGGAACTGATAGCTGAATTGAAGGGGTCTTTCATTCTTTTTGAGTGATGCTTAGCCATGAGATATTTTGAAATCGGTTCATATTATTCACCTGTGTTTAGTTTTCTTCTTTGATAAGATGTAAACCACTGTTTTCTCAGGTCTGTTTTATTTTGTGGCTACTTCATTGACATTAGAAAATGGATATTCTGATTATTTGGTGGAATAATGGAGTGATTTCATTTGGATGACTTTAATCTGTCAGGCTTTCATTCTCTGACTACCCATTTTACTTGTACATACTCTTTCTTTCTTTGGCTGTTGTTTGACATATGTTAAATGTGTTTATTTGATTTTACTTTTTAGTAGAATTTTGATCTTTACATTTAACTTGAAATTAGAGAGAATGTCCTGTTTCAAGGTCTGCAGGAAAACTGCCTGTTACATATATACTTTTGAGATTAAAGAATGGATTTTGATCTTTATAATTTACTTGAAATTAGAGATAATGCTATGTGTTCTACATATGGAAACTGCTTACTGTACTTAGATGCTGAGATAAAATTTAAAGGATATAATGGGTTAGAAACGTTTAAGTTTAATTATCCAAAAAAAAAACTGCATTGCCCATTTGTTGAGAATCTACAGTATTTCTCCCATATTGCCTTCTCTTTCAACCTTGTTTGAGCTTTGGTCCTTTGGTACTTTTAGCTGTTAGGCTTGCAAAATGCTCTGGTGATATGAGTTTGTGTTGGCTCTTGCTATAGCTCCTTCAAAATCATGTTGTTTTAGGGATCCTGCAGTTGAAATTATTGCGCCTCTCTTTCATGCATGCCAGTGTTTTAAACCTGCCTGTAAGCCTGCCCACCAGAATCTGTTTTTTAAATTTTATCTGGTGGGTCAAAATTTACCATGCCTGGGTTGAGGTAAGGGGTCATCTGGCCCAGAAGCCCTTGCTGGAAGCCCTTCTTGTTCCTGGACCAATCAGTTGAACTGATCAGTCTGGCTTTGAGAACACTTATTGCTTCTACTCATTGCCTTGCGGATTTGCAGCAGCAAGAACCACATAAGTTTGTAGTACACAACGAATTGTATATAACATCTGTTAATCTTGTATTTAACAAACTCTTATCCGTGATTTTGACTGAAACATGATGGAGTGCAAATGCTTAATAAGTCTTACAAATATATCTTGTCAACCACATTATCCTGAAGATGAAGATTTGAATGAGTTGCTGCGACAAAAATGGATCATTTCTGATTATTAACGTCATTGATATTTTTGGACTTTCTTGTTTTTATATCTCAAAGTCTAGTCCTATACTGGACAAAGTGATACAGTATTCTTATCCACTTTCTTACAGGTATTTGGTTCCCTATAGTTCAACTTCCTTTTCAAAATCTCTTCTGCAGAAAGGGTGTTAGTCCAGCATCAGTCATCAACAGTGAGAGATAAGAGTGTTCAGGGAATCATGGTATCAAGATCCTACATAAGCTTGTTGGACTTGGCTTCTGGGGACATGTTTAATTTCCCTCAAACAATAAGAAAAATTCCTCAGGTTATGACTGTTCCCGGAAATATTTCTAAGGTGGACAGTAACACACTCAATGATGGAGATTTTGATGCTCTTTCCTCTGAATGCTGTGAAAAAAAAATTATCGTGGCAAATTTTCTTCCTTTACATGCTCAAAAGGATTTGAAATCTGATCGATGGTCCTTCAGTTTTGATGAAGATTCTCTTCTGTTACAAATGAAGGATGGCTTTTCCGCTGATACTGATGTTGTTTATGTGGGTTCCTTGAAGGTTGATATAGATTCAAGTGAACAAGATGAAGTTTCTCGGAGACTGTTGGAGGAATTTAATTGTGTGCCCACATTTCTTCCTCCTGAACTTCAGAAAAAGTTCTACGAAGGGTTTTGTAAGCAATATTTATGGCCTCTTTTTCATTACATGCTACCCATGTGCCCAGACTATGGTAATCGCTTTGACAGGTTGCTTTGGCAAGCTTATCTTTCCGCTAATAAGATATTTGCAGATAAGATCATGGAGGTGATAAATCCTGAAGATGATTATGTATGGGTTCATGACTATCACCTTATGGTTCTCCCAACATTTTTGAGAAAACGTTTTCATCGAGTTAAGCTTGGCTTTTTCCTTCACAGCCCATTCCCTTCCTCAGAAATATACCGGACTCTGCCAGTCAGGGATGAAATTTTAAAAGCGCTGCTTAATGCAGACTTGATTGGCTTCCATACATTTGACTATGCTCGACACTTTCTCTCATGCTGCAGCAGAATGCTTGGCCTTGACTATGAATCCAAGAGAGGACACATCGGACTTGATTATTTTGGTCGCACGGTCTACATAAAAATATTGCCTGTGGGGATTCATATGGGCCGACTCCAATCTGCACTAGATCACCCATCGTCTTCTACCAAGGTCAAAGAAATTGTTGAGCGGTTCAATGGGAGGAAGCTAATTGTTGGTGTTGATGACATGGATATATTTAAAGGCATTAGTCTAAAATTATTAGCTATGGAACAGCTTTTACATCAGAATCCAGAGTTGCGAGGCAAAGTAGTCCTGGTTCAAATTGTAAATCCTGCTAGAAGCACTGGGAGAGGTGTTCAGGAAGCAAAAAGGGAAACATATGAGATTACTAAAAGGATAAATGATACTTTTGGTTTTCCAGGATATGAGCCAGTGGTCCTGATTGATCGTCGTGTCCCTTTCTATGAGAAGACGGCCTATTATGCTTTGGCAGAATGTTGCATTGTAAATGCAGTGAGGGATGGAATGAACCTAGTTCCATACAAGTACATTGTCTGTAGGCAGGGGACTTCCAAAATGGATGAAGCTCTGGAGATTGCCTCTGCATCTCCTCGCATGAGCATGCTTGTTGTCTCAGAGTTTATAGGTTGTTCACCATCCCTAAGTGGGGCAATCAGGGTTAATCCTTGGGACGTTGATGCTGTAGCTGATGCAGTAAACATGGCCATTACAATGCCCGACTTGGAGAAGCAATTGCGGCATGAGAAGCACTACCGCTATGTTAGTTCTCATGATGTGGCTTATTGGGCCTGTAGCTTTATGCAAGATTTAGAGAGGGCTTGCAAAGAGCATTACAGCAAACTTTGCTGGGGTATTGGTTTTGGGCTGAGTTTCAGGATATTGTCTCTTTCTCCTAGTTTTAGAAAGCTTTCCATAGACCATATTGTCTCTGCTTATGAAAGGACATGCAGAAGGGCAATATTTTTGGATTATGATGGGACAATTGTACCCCATGCTTCCATTATTAAAAGCCCCAGTCCTGAAGTTATCTCAGTCCTGAACAATCTATGCAGTGACCCCAAGAACACTGTCTTTATAGTTAGTGGTAGGGGGCAAAACTCCCTAAGTGACTGGTTTGCTCAATGTGAGAATCTAGGCATAGCAGCTGAGCATGGCTACTTCATAAGGTACATTTCAGTTGTACGTTTGAAATCTAGTTTGGCACTTCTGGCTCTGTTGCAAATGGACTATTGCCTGCTTGAAAAGGATGGACTATATTTTTTATGGTTTTTTTTTTTTTTTATACACGATCAAAGTAAAGCTCTATAAAAAGTGACAGTGTCTCCTCTATGAGAGATTCTGTTGTATAACGAGAATGCAACTGTTTGCATTAAGTCTTTATGATGCAGGTTTATTTTTTCTTAATGTTTGTTTTTTTTTCCCTTGTAGGTGGAGTCGGTTGTCTGATTGGGAAACCATTCCACATGCTGCAGATTTTGATTGGAAAAAAATTGCTGAACCAGTGATGAAATTATATATGGAGGCGACTGATGGTTCCTATATAGAGCCCAAGGAGAGTGCCTTGGTATGGCACCATCAAGATGCTGACCCTGATTTTGGATCTTGTCAAGCAAAGGAACTGTTGGATCATCTGGAAAATGTCCTTGCCAATGAGCCTGTTGTTGTTAAAAGGGGCCATCAAATTGTTGAAGTGAAGCCACAGGTATAAATGCATTTTGATTCCCTTTTATTCACTCTAATTTTCTTTTATGCCTCTGCTTTACTTGTTTTCCAGCAGCCTAAAATTGTCTTTTGATGTGACAGGGAGTTACTAAAGGCTTTGTTGCAGAGAAAATTCTTTCCAACATGACAAGTAATGAGAAACCACCTGATTTTGTCTTGTGCATTGGTGATGATAGGTCTGACGAAGACATGTTTGAAAGCATATCGAATACAGCTTACAGATCATCTCTCCCTGTTTCTCCTGAAATTTTTGCTTGCACTGTCGGTCAAAAACCAAGCAAAGCTAAGTATTATCTCGATGATACTGTTGAAATATTAACATTGCTTCAAGGCTTGGCTGCTGCTTCAAGCTCAAAGTCAAGGAGCAACACAGAGACTCAAGTTTCTTTCGAAAGTTCTGTTTGAAACTTGAAGTTTATTTCACTATGCTTTGAATTAGACTGGGTGGCAGATTTGCATGGAATTGACTTCGTTTTGGATTAAGATGGTTGAAATATTTTTTGCTATGACATGGACGGATTTGCTTAAAGTTGGTCGTTGGTATAAGATTCATTCATGGTGGCACATGGCCTGACACAGACTTAATACAGAAATGGAAATACAGATAATAATATGGTCATGATGAACTTGTAGATGGCTCTGGGGATTACAATCACTTCGGATAGGTGGCTGCTGGCTGATTGTTGATACTTCTCAGGTTAGATATTGTCATAGGTAGTCTCACTGACATGAGGCATCATTTATTTTGTGTACAAATACAGGTTTTAGTCAATACATGAAATGCATTCTGAAAATGAAATATATTGGATTGGTCCATTCTGCAATTGCTGTTTCTCCCCCTTTTTACAATATAAGAATATGTTGTAACCAAAGTTGAGATATCATGCACATTGTACTTGCAAATTATCACATCATTTTGTCCACATCCTTTATGTTCCTTACAATTTTCACTGTACAATTTTCAATTTTTTTTCTTAATTTTACTAGATCTATTTTTGTTGTTTTTTAGTTCTTAATTTTACTAAAAGATGGATGTTTTTAAGTAATACCCAGTTTATTGATTAGGAAGTCATTTTTCGTTGATCAATTAGTTTTTTACTTGACAAACACTTAAAAATACAAAATTATTTTTTGAAATTTATTTTTCACAAAACAAACAGAATCTTAATTTCACCACCAACGATACTTTTAATTTCATTGAAATCAATTTTACTGTCTAAATCTTAAGTATTTTGTTCTAATTATAGTTCATAAGCTTTATCAGTTGTGGATGATGATATTTTTTTCAGAGATGTTCACATATTGCAGTGGATGTTTGTTGACTATAGGCAAGCTGCGTGGTGGGTACGGGCGTTGAGTAAAGCGATTAAAGAGTTAAAAAAAGATATGTTTAAAGAAAAATTATAAAAATATCCAGAAAAATTATAAAAATAATCAAAATTTCTTTTCCAATTTTCTTGTTTTTCAGGACATCCTAATTAACCATTTGCATCGGCAGTTGGTTTATAGTTTATACAAAGTGACAGAAGTCAGTAATTTAGGATGCATACGGATCCCCCCACCTTTTCGGTGAGGTGGAATCTGGCCTTTTTTGGACTAACTACATCGGAGTGTGTTTGTATAGCAATTCAAGATGTGGTTGTCTTCGATTATTTTTCAGTCTGTGATTGAAACAGTTGATTCCTTAGTGTAAAAAGAAACATTTTACGTAATTGTTGTGTTTAATTTTATAATTTTAATTATAATTATAATCTTATAATATCCAATCTCACTCAATGACATCATTGTCATTCTTTTCAATCTCATCAAACATAATTTCACCGTCCAAATGAACCCTCTTCACTCTCTTCTGCTTTGTTCCTCATGTACATCTTTGAACCCCTCTATCAATCTCGTTTGTTTCCCAAGAAAAACAAATAGACAGAGAAGTAAAGAAAAGAAAGCAATTTGACAAATTGAAGATTAATTAGTGGATAAAATAAAGAAAACCCATTTTCTGACTGCAGGCGTATTCAGCAGGAAAGTCTGAAGATCGGAGCTTTAAACCTTCTTCACCATCGACGCTACATAAACAAATTGGGCAAGTCTTTCATCTTTTCTTTGGAGTCTCCCTTTACTTTAGATCATCAACTCCTTTTTTATCAGTGATTCAGTGAATGATAATTATTTAGCTTATGTTATGAATAACAACTGTTTTTTAGATAAATGAATGGTAACCGTTTAGTACTGAAAAAAAAAAAAAAAACATTTGGATTTGGATTTGACTGCTCGCAATCACTAAACATCAGCGTATTTGTCAAAGTTTTAAATAAATATTTTTTAAATATTTATTTATAAAAATATTATTTGATATATATACATAATTTTAATAATTTATTAATTTTATAATATAATATTATTATAAAATTTATTATATAAAATTTAATTTAATGTAATTTTTTTACTATATTTTATCTGTATCTAAGCACAAATCGATCATTAATTTTAATTTTATTAATTTTTGTGTTAAATCTTATTGTTCTAAGTAATTTCTCCATTAATACTATTTTTAATTTTATCAGTTATCTAAATATATTTGATTTTTGTGGTACGATGGATTCATTGATTGAATATAGATGCCAATACAATGGCTCATGTTATTTTAGATTTAAAGAAATTTGGTTTATTTTGGGTTTGTCATTTTTATTTAGGTCATTTTGAATTGAAATTAGTTTAGACTTGAAATTCAGATTATTCAATTTTGAATCATTGAATTTAAGTCATTTCAAATTTAAATTATGAGTATTAAAGTTAAATAAATTTAATTTCCGATTATATTTGAGTTAATCTTTTGGATAATTTAAATTTAAAATATTTTATATTTGAGTTAATTCACATTGGATACATTTTATATAGTTGATTTTCTTAATCGAATAAAGTTGAGTTGAATTTTGTTTTGGATTGGAGCAAATTTTTTTAATTCAAATTAGTTTTGCCCAATCTAATTGTATACTCATTATATGTACTAAGATCATGTTTGATATATAAAATAATTGATAGAATAGAATAACAATTATTTTATATTATATTTGATTTGTAATTAAAGAAAGAGATAAGATTATAAAGAAAATTAATTGTACTAGGACGATTCAGTTTTCTCTAAATGAAAAAAATTATTTTTAATCATAAAATTAAATTTATATATCCAATTATACTCTTAAAAATTATATTAATAATTTAAATTATATAAACTGTGAAGAAGAATAATTTTGATAAATAAATAAATTATTATATCGTAATCTTTATATATATTAAGCACAAAATAAAATGATATTATTTAATTAAATTTCATTCATAATATTATCTTATCTTATTATAATTTTATATATCAAACACACTGTAACATCTTACGATATTTTTCACAAGTATTTGCATGTAATTTTAAGTTAATGCTAGTAGCATTTTAGCTACATTTATGCTATATTGGATGTGTTGGATGGTTTGACCAGTCGTCCAAACTTATCATAAATAACAAATCATTTTTGTCTCAAAATTTTAATTTTAATTTTTATCTTATCAATAAATGCATTATTAAAATAAATCTTATTTGATAAATTGAACAAATTAGATATTAAAAAATTATTAAAATTTAATTTTATAAATTTTATGATATAATTATTTAATATAAATATATCAATTTTATTCATACCTATGGGGAATATGACTTTTACTCAAATGAGGATGGTGATGAACATTATATTATAAGTATGTGGATGAATATACTTTTAAATTTTTATTAAATATGAGGATAAGGATAAGGACTAGTAATATAATACCTCCATAACCTATATATATTTAGTAAAAATATTTTTTTATTAAATAATGTAAATTATTATTTTATATTAGTTAAAATTAATAAAAAATATTGAAAAAATATATTAATTTATATTTATAAAAAATTACTTAAGTATACAAAATAAAAATAAAAAAAGCTAAAAAAATAAAATTTAATTTTTATTTTTTAAAACTATGGGTACGAGGATTATCCATACCCATTAAGTATTCATAGGGATAGAGATGTTGATAAATTTAAAATACTTATTGAGTATAGGCACTAGGATATGTATAATATAAAAATTTATGGATGAGGATGAGGATGAAGATGAAGAATGCTCTATCATTCTCATATCCTAACTATTGATATCCTTAATTTAATATGTTATTAAAAAATAAATATATTATAGATATTTATTAATTTTTTAATAAAAAATAGATACAATATGATAATATCTTTTTGACTAAAATACTTAAAAAACCCTTAAATTTTATACTTTATTTAGGTAAATTTTTATATTTTTATTGTATCAAAATGACTCATATTTTTTAATTTGTATCCACGTATGTTCTTATTTTAAAGAAAAAATGATTTATGTTATGTACTTATTTAAGTATAAGTTAAATGATATATATTTATTTGTATATAAATCAATGTTTAAAGTCTTATGGATGCAAAATAAAAAATAAAAAATTATTTGGACGTAATAAAAGTGTAATGGTTTATCTAAATAAAATGATAAAAAATTTAAAATTATTTTTATTGTTTTATTTTTTTCTAACTAAAATAAGAAAATATATTAACTCTTTTTAACCAAAAATCTATGTGTTATATCTTTCTTGAACTAAAATGCCTAAATTCATCAAATGAAAATAGAGATCCTCTATTTTTTTTTCTTTTATATATTAACCAATGAAAACATAAGAACGTACACCTAATTGCAATAACTATTTCAGTCGGAAGATTTTTTTGTTAGTAAATGTGATATTTATTTATACTTTTAATTTCAGTGACAATTTTAAAATATAAAAAAATTATAACAAAAAAAATTAAAAAAATGTCGTAATTGGGAATTAGATAGCTGGCTGCATCAGAAAACCAAAAAGAGAAAACAGTCCCCACTGTCATGTTGGCTTGATCTGGAAGCATTGCTGGCGTATCTCCTTAGATGGTACCCTACCCAACTCCCCCTCCTTAATCATCCTTGGATTCCTCTTAATCAATCATCATTTGTTTAATCGTAAACATCAGACTAAGAAACCCAACAAATTTCCCACCGAATTCTGTCCCACCACCTTCTGCTTTTACTCGCGAAGCACTGAATCAGAACCACAACGGCTCAAATTGGAGGACGAATTTACAGTAACACCCTTTCAGGCAATTCAGTCAAGCCTCTCTTTGATTGTTTCCACTATTTATAGGACTCTTCCTCTTTATCGCTTAAAGAGAGAGAATTAGGGTTTCGATATCTGTGATGGATGCTCATAGAGATGTGGAGCCAGCAATATTCGAAGAAACGATGTCGAATTCTCTTATACGGAACACTCGTTGCTGCTTCTGTTTCCCTTGTTTAAGCTCCTGTCATACGCCTACCTTCGGAATAGCCTTCTGGGAACGGATACGTACGGTCCAGGTACAGTCCGATAGCAGCTTCTGGGCCCGAAGTGTTAGAGCCTTCGTGAAGGTCCGAGAATGGTCCGAGATCGTCGCTGGTCCTCGTTGGAAGACTTTTATCAGAAGATTAAACCGAAATAGAAGCGGAAGTGGTGGTGCCGCTGGCGCTGGTGGTAGGCATAGGCAATTCCATTACGATCCTTTGAGTTATGCTTTAAATTTCGATGAAGGCCCGGGGCAGAGTGGTAATTTCGAAGATGATAATTCTGACGGCGGTTTTCGATCTTTCTCGACCCGGTACGCTTCGGTTTCCGGTTCGGAAAAAACGGCCTTGTCTTCCACGTCGACAACGTAGTCATTGGAGGTTCAGAAGGATGTGGCGGTTTTCGCGTGAAACTGTAAAGGGTAGCGCCGCGATAAAGGTTTAAACCGAAACGTGCGACCATTAGCTGGACTTGCTGACGTTATCATGCGTGGCTTGTTCGTTGCTTTTGTATTATTTTTGTATAACGGCGTTTCTTTTGTTGGGTCCAGAAGTAATTATGTGCACTTTGTAGGGTTTTTTTTTTTTTTTTTTAATTTAATTATGATTGTGAGAGTGAATGAAGAAGAAGATGAAGCGTGTGGGATTAAGGTAAGAAAAATATTAGATTTTGTATTCTTTTTGGGCTTTTCTGTGGGAATAAAAGAATATACTATCTAATGGATTAATTAATGGTGTGTATATATTGAGTCATTTAATGTAATATATAATTTTTTTTATAAGAAAAAATTTCGGGATAGATAGATTGTTTAATTTTTTAAATTAAAATAAGATGTGTTGTATCTGATAGCTTAAGATAAATAATTATAAGTCGTGCATTTAAAATAATTTCAATAAATGATCACCGATAGGATTCGAATCCAAAATTTTTTCGTCGAGAAAGATGAATATAACTGATTGAATTAATCATTTGTTAATATTTATTTATTTTTTATATATTTGATGGATATGTTAATTTTTTTATATTTAAAGATTTATAATTTAAATTTTAATTATAATTAAAAATTTAATATTTTATCAACTACACTATTAGTCATGTCATTTCTTTTTGAATTTATAAGAATATGTTCGTAAATAAAATTTCAATTATAATTAAAAAATTCTTAACAATAAGATATAAATAAAATTATTGTATTTAATATAAAATTAATTAACAAAATTAAATTTACACGTGAAGACCTACAAACATGAGACTTGAAAGTTTCAAGATTTTTCTTTATTATTGCGACAAGTATGTTTTTTTTTTTCCTTACTAAAACAAACTTAATTGTCAAAACGAAGACTATGATTTTGAATAAGTTTTATAATGATGGGTATTTTCAACTAATTTAACGTATGAAAATCTTGTAATTTGTGTAAGTTGTCATCAAATATAGTATTTAATTCAATTATTGGCAAGAAGGAAATTTGATTTGTTTCAACAATGCTTCGCGTTGAACCAAAAATTTTTTGATTCTTTGAACTACCAATATTGTTAAACAAAGAAAAAACTAGTCCTTTCGACAACCAATATTCTAGCTTATCGAATCTCCAAGGGATGATATTGTCTTGTTATAAAAGGGATTCGATTTATCAGAGAGAAATATATTTTATTCTTTTTTAATTAATTATATTTTTTGATAAAATAAATCATTAATAATTTAATTATAATAATTTTTTAAAATGGACACTTAATTATTTACTTTTTAATTTAATCACTAAATTTTAAATAAATATTTTTTGTTACTCAATCATTAGTGTCTAATTAATAGCGTCTAACATGTAGTGCCATGTAAACTAATAGAGCCCACATGGCATTGCCACATTATCTGACACGCTATGTGGTATTGCTAATGTGGTAATATAAATTTTGAAGAAAAAAAATTATTAATGTGCCAATACTATGGCATTTGACAATTGACATGATATTTTCACATTAGCATATCATTATAGACTAATGATTGAGTAACAAAAAAAAAATTCAAATTAAATAAAAAAAATTAATAGTTAGGTGACCATTTTAAAAATATAATTATAATTAAGTGACAAAGATGTATTTTACCCTATATTTTTGTACTTAACTTTGACAAAATATACAAATTGATATTTTTAAAAAAATGTATAATTTACATTCTAAATGGACATGATAAGTTTATGCTTGACGCAATGACATAACATGAAAATAATACTGAAAAAAGACATAAAAGCAACAAGGTTTAAAATTTTGACAAAAACTATAAATAAGCTTAACAAAAAAAAAAAAGTTTTATGTGTTCAGCGTATCAACATGAATTATAAAATGATAATTTTTGTATTTTATAAGAATTTTTCACAAATAAAAAACAAACAAACATTCAAATTATTAGGTATAATTCTAAACTTTCAAATTATTCTTTATCTATACTAATATTAAAAGCTTTATTAAGTTGGTGTCGCGAATCAAATGAAGATTTAATCCAAAATATAAATCATAAAAGAATATATATTAATGAATTTATAATTATAATTTACTTTTCTTTAAAAGTAGAGTGAAAATTTGTTTTTTTAAATCCATTTCTACCTTTTCTTTATTTTAAAATTTTGCACATTAGTTATCCATTTCACTACAAGAAAAATCGTTCAATATCGATGGATTTTTATTGATGAAAATTTTCCTTTGGTATTTACTAACAGATTGTCAACGGTTTACTAACTGATTGTAAATATAAAAGTACCAAGAAACTATCAACGAAATTCCAACAAAATATTGGTAAAAAAAATCTATTAGTATTTTATAGATGATGATGGCACGGGAAATACCAATGAAAGAAATTCATCGATAATCAATAGATAAAGTGTTTATAAACGGATTACCAATGGATTTTTTTCGTCGATAAAAAATTTCTTGAAAAAAATTAAAAAAATTTACTAAGTATAAAATAAATTGAATGAAATAGAAAAATTAGATTACCGATGAAAATTTGTCGGTGAAAGTCATTAAAAAATTTGGATTGCCAACAAAATTTTCATCTATAATCTGTTTGTGAAAGCTAATAAAATCAAAAGCCCCTTTTTCCTTTTTTTCCTTCCTCTACAAAAACCTTAAATTTTTCAAAACCCTTATCTAATCATCTCCTATCTCCTCGCGATCTCCCCTCTTCTCATCATCATGAAGCCGTGTCGTCAGACCATTCTCCTTTGCCATTGGTTCTTTCTCCTTTGCCATTCCGCTTGTGAAAATATCTCTTTCTCTTTTATGCCTTTTCTTTTAATTTTCTCTCTTGGTGGTTCCTGCCATATTTGTTTCCTTACATAGGTACAACTTTGGGAAATGTGAATATATGTTAAAATTTTGTTATTTGGCTAGAAATATGTATTTTTTTTTTGTTTGTTTATACTAGAAATAGGCATTTTTATGCTTGCATTGGGGATTTTGTATACTTGTATTGGAAAGTAAAATCTCAATTTCTAACTTTAAATAATATATTATTGCATATATACTTGTGTTGAAGAATTTGTGTTGAATTTTTGTATTTTTGAATTAAATTTGTGTTGAAATTTCATTTTTTTGGCTTGAAATGAGGTTTTTTTTTTTTGGTTTATTAAACAAAAAATAAGCATTTCTATGTTTGTGTTGGAAAGTAAAATCTCAATCTCTAACTGTAAATAATATATTATTGTATATGTACTTGTGTTGGAAAATTTGTGTTAAAATTTTTTGTTCTTGTTGCTTACTTTTTTTGGAATAAAATAGACAATTTTTTTTTTTTTGTTTATTTGAACTAGAAATAAGCATTTCTTTGTTATTGTAATAAAAATATAATCTCAAAGTAAATATCAAAGCATATTCTCAAACTTTAAACAAAGTATTATTATATATGTACTTGTGTTGGAGAATATATATTTAAATTTTATATTCTTGTTACTTACTTTCTTTGGATTGAAACAGGCAAATATTTTTTTTTTGGTTTATTGAACTTGAAATAGACATTTCTTTGTTATTGTAATAAAATTATTATCTTCAAGTAAAATCTCAAAGCATATTCTCAAACTTTAAACAAAGTATTATTACATATGCACTTGTATTGGAGAATTTGTTGAGTAAAATCTCAAATTGATAAGGTATTGATGGTTATATAAAAAACTATCAATTCAAACTATGTGACTTTTGAGCCTTTGTTAGTGTACACACTTCCAAAACATACATGTGCATGCATGTGTTAAATATAAATAATTACTTTTTAGGACCTTAATTGCTTATATTTCAATGTAATATACTAAGAGTTATATTTTTTGGACCTTTATGATGATGCAATTAGGTTTGAAAAAATGGACAAAGATTGCTCATAGATGTATTCTTATTTAGATGTAAATGGATATATTAGTCAAACTTTTGTGATGGTATAGAAAAAATTATTGGATATGTTTATTCTCAACCATACTTTGTAAGTAATGAAAAGATTAGGTGCCCTTTACTTAATGTGAGAACATATGATTTTTAAAGTGGATACTGTGTGTAAGCATCTTTATTATAAAAGATTTACTCTTGGTTATACGAGTTGGGTCTCACATGAAGAGTTAGAAGTAGGACAACCATCAATAAATAAAGATACCTTTGAACCAATTAGTGAAGTGAGAATAGAACATTTGTATACTAAAATGGTTATGGATGTTGTCTATGTTGATTTTAGGGTGAATGCTTCTCATGCTAGTGAGGCAAGAGTTGATAAGTAAGATCCAAATGTAGATGTGATAAACTTCTATTCTTTGTTGAAGATGTGGGTGAATTGTTATGATCAAGTTGTATAAAGCACACAATCCTCTCTACCATGTCATTACTTTTAAATTATAAATAAGAATTTAACATGACTGAATCATGTTTTAGTCATCTGATGAGCATAGTAAAGGATATATTGTCGGTGGATGATAAATTATCAAAAAACTTCTATAAAATGAAAAAAATGATGAAAGTTGGACTTATTTATAAGAAAATTCATGTATGTGAAAACAATTGCATGTTGTTTTATAAGAAAATAACAAATTTGACATATTGTTTGATATGTGATCATCCTCGATATTTAAAGAATAAGTTTAATGGTGAGATGAAAAAACAAATTTCTTATAAAATCTTATGTTATATGCCACTAATATTGAAGCTTTAAAGACTTTATATGTCAACTAAAACTATTAAATATACGACACAGTATGCCTATAACTAAAGTCATGATGGTGTGTTTCGACATCCTTTTGATGGTGAAGCTTGTGAACATTTTAATCACAACCATAAATCATTTACACTTGAACTTTGAAATGTAAGTTTAGGATTATGTGCGGATGTTTTTTGTCCATTTGATTTAAGTGCAAAATTATACTCTTGATGTCTAGTAATGATAGTGGTATCTATGGTTATGTATGAACCGAAAATGTATTTTGTTGATATGGTCATTCTAAGAAAGAGTAGTTCGAGTCAAAATATATAAATGTTTTCTTGAGATCTTTAATAGATGAGTTAACAATATTGTGGTCTTTAATAGATCTTTAATATATAAATTTTAAAATTGAGTTAGCGTGACTCCCCTATTGCTCTATTATTAGGTGAAAAATTTTTAGCTTGGTTAGATAGCTTTCTTAATATCATATTTGGCAAGAAATGTAGTGATAAGAAGTTAGTCGATTTTGGTGAAAGTCATAGTTAGGTGAAAAAAAATAAATTTTGGGAATTGCCTTATTGGCATACCAATATTATCCGACATAATCTTGATATGATGCATATTAAGCATAATGTA